ACGCATCCGGAAAACCTAAACTCCGAGTAGTAGTAGACTTTCGGAAGCTAAACGATTTAGCAATAGGCGATTCATTTCTACTGCCCAATATCACTGATATACTGGACCAGTTAGGAAACGCTAAATATTTTACCACACTAGACTAGTCAGGATATCATTAGAAGTGCAAGAAATGCTGAAAAATGGCATAATCCGAACAAGCGCGAGTCAATGGAACGCACCCTTATTAGTGGTACCGAAAAAGGCCGACGCATCCGGAAAACCTAAGCTCCGAGTAGTAGTAGACTTTCGGAAGCTAAACGATTTAACAATAGGCGATTCATTTCCACTGCCCAATATCACCGAGATACTGGACCAGTTAGGAAACGCTAAATATTTTACCACACTAGACTTAGCGTCAGGATATCATCAGATACCGATGGCTGAGCAAGATAAACAAAAGACAGCTTTTTCAACGCCCTACGGACACTACGAATTTAATAGAATGCCGTTTGGATTGAAAAATGCGCCAGCAACATTCCAGAGACTAATGAATTCAATTCTAACCGGAATGCAAGGACTTAAATGTCTAGTTTATTTAGACGACATTGTCATATACGGAGCAAGCCTAGAGGACCACAATAAAAGACTCAAAGAAGTACTGCAGAGACTCCGAGAAAATAATCTAAAATTGCAACCGGATAAATGCGAATTTTTGCGCAAGGAAGTAATTTATCTAGGTCACATAATTTTGGAGAATGGGATATCTCCGGATCCGTCAAAGTTAACGCAATAAAGGAATTTCCGACTCCGAAGAAAGTAAAAGATATACAATCTTTCATAGGACTAGCCGGATACTACAGAAAATTCATAGAAGATTTTTCAAAAATAGCCAATCCACTGACAAAATTAACGAAAAAAACGGAAAAATTTGAATGGACTATGGAACAGCAAAATGCTTTCGAAATATTAAAGGAAAGACTAATGACTGCGCCAGTGCTAACGTATCCAGATTTCAATCAAGAATTCATAGTGACCACTGATGCTTCCGACTATGCAATCCGAGCAGTATTGTCACAACGAAAAGTAGGTAACGACTGGCCAATTGCTTACGCCAGCAGAATTTTATCGCGGGCGGAGCAGAATTACAATACAACCGAGAAAGAATTACTAGCGATTGTATGGCTTGTAAAACATTTTATATTATATATACCATACATATACGGTACAAAATTTAAAATCGTAACCGACCATAAACCATTAACCTGGTTATTTAATGTGAACGATCCCGGATCGAGATTGATCCGATGGAGATTAAAGCTTGAAGAATATGATTACGAAATCATTCATAAAGCCGGACGAGCGAACGCGAACGCCGATGCACTGACAAGGAGAGGTCGCAGCTGACTTTTTACCGATTTTGATCTCCATTTTTGCGGTGAATCTTCATTGAATATAGTTAAGCCCTGTAAGAGCTTTTCGTCCAATGCGCCTTGTAATTAGTATTTTTTTATACTTGAAATTTGGAGAAATTTGGAGAAATTTTAATGTAGGTTGTAAGACATAAAGAAAGGTACTTTATCGAACAGTGCCGTTGGCGTAGGGAGTAAGCGCGAGTACACTAATGCGTCGTCTACAATGGCAGCAGGAGTAGTAAATGAAAAGTGTAGGCATTAGACGTAGGCTGTAGGATTAAAGCCTCCTTACGCATAAGTGTCTACAATGGTATATAGTAAGGATTACAATAAGCCAATCAGCATCGACGAACGTTATCCGTTTGTACATAGGCGGCAAATGGCGGTAAATCAAAATATTGCGGTGTATAGCGTTGTTGATGTATAGCAGTCATGGATTTGCAAAAAATTGGAGTTGTGCTATTTATGATGTTATGGAGCCAGCTTCTGACTATTCAATGGCGCATTGTTCAGACGAGGAGAGCTATTGGTCGAAGGTGGTGGGTACGGCCCGTGAATAGACGCAGATTTGATCAGGGTTTCAACCTTAACCTGTTTCGCGAACTAAGTATCAGTGATCACGAAGAATTTTTCGGATATACTCGAATGTGGCCGGAGCAGTTTGAATTCTTGCTCAATTTGGTGCATCCATACCTGGAAAAGCGCAGCATCCGGACACCTCTTTCACCCAAGCTTCGTTTGAGCCTAACCTTGACGTGAGTACTAATCAATTCTGCATTTTAAAAATTAAATCTGATATTAATATATGCCTTTTTTTAATGCAGATATCTTGCTCAAGGAGAAAGCATGCGGACAAAGCATCTGGAATTCAGAGTTGGAAAATCTACGGTCTGCAAAATAATACCAGAAGTTTGTCGTGCTATTTGGCATGTCTTGCAACCTGTTGTGCTTCCCACAATAGATGCTGATGGCTCGAAAAAAATAAGTAAAGAATATATGTTGCAGTGGCAATTTCCAAACTGTATCGGTGCTCTTGATGGCAGACATATGGAAATCGAAAAGCCGCCATGCTCTGGATCACAGTACTACAACTACAAGCAATTCTTCAGTATAGTGCTGTTGGCACTTTGTGATGCAAATCATAAATTCACATGGGTGGACATTGGACAGTTTGGTAATCTCTTCTTAATAACTGATAGGAAACAAATTAATAGTAACGTTGCAATGAAGTGTATTTGATGTATTTACAGGTTCGATCAGTGATGGTGGTGTGTGGAGAAATTCTGAATTAGCTGCAGACCTTGCCTCTGGTGACGCTGATCTTCCATCACCAATACCTCTGCCAGGGAGAGATGTTCCATTTCCACATGTGATTGTGGCCGATGAGGCCTTCCCCCTTAACACGTATCTCATGCGCCCCTATGCAAGACGCAATGGATTAACAGACGAGCAGCGTGTTTTCAACTACCGACTCAGTAGGGCTCGTCTCTGCATAGAAAACACATTTGGAATATTAGTGTCATGCTGGCATATTTTGCACAAACGATTGCGTTTTTCTGTAGCAAATATAGAAGAGATTGTAAAAGCTCTTGTTTGTCTCCACAACTTCATTATGAGCTGTAATGACGGTAATGATAAATGTGCCTCTCAGTATTGTCCTCCTGATTGGCTCGATGTTGAGGATGAGGATGAGCTTATTCATGACGGTCGGTGGAGGACTATTGGCCATTGTGCATTTTTCAAAGAGTTAGGTAGGACTGGAGCTAATCGAGGTGGCTCAGTGTCGGAAGATATGCGCAATTACCTCAAGCAGTATTTTGAATCTCCAGTTGGGGAAGCTCAGGCGCCCTGGCAGTATATGAGAGTTTTTCAAGGTCAAATAATTAACCCTCTCGCATAGTTGTCAAATTTACGTTTTGTTCTGCATTTTATATGTGGTCATAATTTGTTATTTAGTTCTGTAGTTAAATGCAGTGTTATTTGGCTACGAAAAGAGCATAATGAATATTTTTAAGACTGATAATTTTGTTCATAAGTTTGTCAATAAGAAGATTAAATAAAGTAAACGTGTAACGATGCATCCCCCATCGTTACTGCACAGTACCCGGCCGCCGATCCAACGGGGTTGGGTGTACTCAGCCTCCGCCGGAAATTTACGGCATCTCGAAGAGCGCTCCTAAACACGAAATAGAGTAATACTAAAATAGAATAAATAGAATAATAGAATAAATAGAATAATTAGAATAAATAGAATAAATAGAATAAATAGAAAAAATAGAATAAATAGAATAAATAGAGTACACGGGATCGGGCGTACTCGACCCCGCCGGGAGTTCTCGGCCCTTTCCGTCCATTCCGTCCACCACGTGTATCGGCATTATTCTAGTGGCAGGGAGTTCTCTGCCACCGACGGGATTCCTCGTCGGCCAATACATTCCCGATTCCGCCACCCGCGATCCAGATACGCGAATTCCAGCCGACAATTACGCGTACGAATAGACCGGTAGCTGCCGCCATTAACGCGCCCACGCGCCATTATAACGGGCACGATAAGTCCTGCACCGAGGGCCGACCTGCGCCCTACCGCGACACCGATCGACGGCCGAAATCGATATCCGCGTCGAAGGACCGCCCACCGCCCACCGACGCGGCCACAAGGGACCACCCGACAGCTAACGGCTCCTGCCGCGCGATTAATAATCGATACGCGACCGAACACCCGAAACAGCAAACCGCGCTGCGCACGATCGCGGTGCATTGTATGCACCCTCCACCTTTATACATACTCGCATACCGATATTATACATACTCGCACACATACATTGCGTAACCGCACACACACATTGTACACTCGCTCACCAACTTTATACGTGCTCGCACACAGACATTGTCCGTTCTCACACTCGCCACTCGTCTCGCGCATACATACACTCACACCTCTCGTACACCTACACATACACTCACGCTGTACTACCATACATTTATACGAAATAAATTACATTTTACCAAACATCACAACGCATTCGTGTCTCGATACCGCTTTCCCGAACCCAGGATCCCGACCGAGTTATCCGTCGCCCGCCTCGCGAAAGCGGCTTGTTACAAACGATTGTATTATAAAACATTTATTTTTTATTTGTCGTCCTTCAAACTAACACAAAAACACAACCTAAACTCAATTTTGCTTTGGTCTGCAATGTAAGTTCTACCAAAAAATACTTAATACTATTTCTGAAAAGTACGAATAGTAGTGTTTATTCAAATATAAAAATGAACATATTATGAAGACTCAATTTTTTAGTCTACAATAAGTTAAAAATTAAACCAAAGGCTACTTTCATGTTATTTCCTAAAATTTTACATTAGTAATAACAAAACTATATATAATAAACTATGTATTAATAATAATAAAACTATATATAAACAAAATATTTTTTGTAGTTTTTATATAAGATTATCATAATAATTATAATTATTGGTTATAAAATCACAGTAAGTAAATTGAACTTTTGAGCAAAAATCACAGACTATCTCTATCTTGTTTCACTATGCTTGTACTCTTGTTTTAGAGAAATCATTGATGTGTTGCAATATACCAATGAGGCACTAAAGCAGAGCATGCTTGGGTATCGCATTTAATGCGAATCCTATGGCACTCAGCATGGGCTGAATATCAGGAGATGCATTGCTGACCACTGTTGACGAAGTACTTGGTTGTGGAGGTGGAGCCGTAATTGCTTCACCGATCTTCGCTGCAAAATCTGTCAATCCCTTACTCTGCTCAATGAAAGACTTACTGACAGCGTTTATCTCCTGTCGTTTTTTAGTTGCAAAAGAATCAGAAGGAGGAACCTTGCGCTTGGTGCCAATCTTGGACATAGCTCTCTGCACCTGTGGTACTGCATTATTGCTTTCAGATCCCGAAGTAACTGCAGATGATGGTGTTGTAGGAGATAGTGTAGCAAGAGGTGTTGTTGCAAAAGGAAGTGGCGAACAGGAATCCTCAGATACTTTTATAGAATTTTCAGTATCTGACTTTTCAGTACCTGAAAATGTAACAAAGGAATACTTTAGATTAATCTAGAATGTTATAACAAACTGTGGAGACCTGACAATGAGTCTTTTAATCTCCTTACTTGCGAGTCTTGTACATAAGTCCCAATTCCAAGAACTAGATGTGTCTGGGCTTGCTGCAACAGACGTAATATAGGGGGGAATGCAAAACACTGTTGTTACTTGACCATTAGAAGGAGCAGACGTAGACGTGAATGAGGAACTTGTGCAAAGTTGTGGCACTTGATTATTTGCAGAAATCTTCTTTTGGATTTTGGACTTGTAGTTGGATGAGGTTCTGCAATCACATTACAATCATAAATTATCGACATTTATCATGCAGAACTTCTCAAGCCGCAACACTTACCTTCTAGGTTTGATGATGTCCTCCAGGAATGTCAGGTCCTTGTACAGCTTCCAAGTTGGTGTGTATATGGGCTGATCCGCTCCAGCTCCAGACCTCGGCATAGACTGCTCAACCTTCCTCCGCTCTTTTCCAAAGCGTTGCCTCAGGGCGTAAAATCTTTTTTCAGCAACAAGACCTGACAAATAGATTATTACATTTTCTTTTCCTAGTGTATCAAAGTTATAATCTAAATCTAACCTAACCTAACTTGCATTCTGTCAAACATGTCTTTCGCCAATTTATTATGTGACACCATGTTCATCGACTATACCGTAACAACATATCGCTACAAAAAACCGTACCAATATTTTAAAATAATCGAAATAAACTTACCTTCTACTGGATGAGTGAGGCTCGCGCCGATCTGCGTCCATGCTGCGGCCTTCACCTCTCCATTGGAATATAACTTTTCAGTCTTGTCGTACAAAAATCTATTTACCCGGACCACGGCAATTAGCTCTCGGTCACTGCTGAGCTCATCTTCCGCACAAAAAGATTCCATGTCCGACATACAAACTACACAGCTGTGTTCCCGCCCTTACTGTCGAGCTCTCATTAGCTGAGAGTAAAGGAGCAGACCGTAGGAAATAGAATTCAACCATTTCGCTTACGGCCTTACTCTACGCCCTATTACACCGAAAAACCAGCTTACTCTGACGTCTTACAGTCTTAATCTACTACTCTTGCTGCCATTGTAGACGACGCATAATAGCGAGAACCCAGGTTCAAAACCACCTACGCTGTTAACATTTTTTTACTTTTTTTTTAATTATTTATTTGATATGTAAATGTAATATGCATTATTTACTACATAAAAATAAATATTTGGCATATATTAGATAGGCATAAATCTTCTTATATATTTGCCTACATAAAATTACTGTGAAATAAATGAAATATTTTTACAGAGAAATGTTAATACTTTTATTTTTAAAGATTTTTNNCCCCCCCCATAGGGGGACGGAACCCACTGCGTCCGCGCATACACTTTCCTATCCACACAACAATTGTGGGGTGGACCTTATCGAATAGAGAATTTCTAGAATCTCTATTGAAATTGTAAGAATTCTCCATCTGATTGCTAATCATCGATATGTTCGACAAACATTTTGTCGTATCAATATAATATCAGCATTACACGACGAAGGCACGCGCAGGCGCAGAGTCAGCGCACATGGTTTTGTATAATGGTGGTAGCCTAATAATTAACTACCAAATATTGTAATTAGACTACCAATTACCACCAAACATTTGTCTTTCAATTAAAATCAATTTGAATAAAATTGGTTGGTAAATAATATAGGGAGCGGTGCACTTGGACACAGTACAATTGGACACGGTGCAAATGGACACGTTGCACATGGACACGAAACTTTGCACACGGTTCAATTGGACACAGTGCATTTGGACACAATAATTTTGGACACAGTAGCTTTTGGACACAAAAGAAAATTCATTTGGACACCGTTCAGAAGCACACCGGTCAGTTGCACACCGTTCAGTTGCACATATAAAAATGCACACCGTTCAGTTGGACACATAAAAATCCACACCGTTCAGTTGCACACCGCTCAGTTGTACACCGTTCAGTTGCACACCGTTCAGTTGCACACCGCTCAATTGCACACCGCTCACAAGGAGAGGTTGCAGCTGACTCTTCACCGATTTTGATCTCCTTTTTTGTGGTGAATCTTCTTTGAATATAGTTAAGCCCTGTAAGACCTTTCGTCCAATGCGCCTTGTAAGTAGTATTTTTTTATACTTGGAATTTGGAGAAATTTGGAGAAATTTTAATGTAGGTTGTAAGACATAAAGAAATACACTTTATCGAACAGTGCCGTTGGCGTAGGGAGTAAGCGCGAGTACACTAATAGCGAGAACCCAGGTTCGAAACCATTTACGCTGTTAACATTTTTCCTTTTTTTTTTTATTATTTGATATGTACATGTAATATGCATTATTTACTACATAAAAATAAATATTTGGCATATATTAGATAGGCATAAATCTTCTTATATATTTGCCTACATAAAATTACTGTGAAATAAATGAAATATTTTTACAGAGAAATGTTAATACTTTTATTTTTAAAGATTTTTTTATACATTTTTTTAAATTTTCTTGAATGCCATATTTATTTATTTTTTTTTATTCACTGATGTCATATATATTTTTTTTATTCACTGATATATTTATTTATTTCTTTATTCACTGATGTCATATTTATCATATTTTTATTTTACTAGACGACTTTATTACGTTATAGTTTGTCCGATTGTGTGCGCGAGTGAACGCGGGGGCGCGAGGATCGAGTGAAATGGACACGAAAGCGTTTTGTGAAAAGCAGTCAATTTAATTTTAGCAATAAATAATTCACAAGATTCAGTTCGATAAGATTTAAGCTAATCTTAACCGTGTCTGGCTCCGGCGAGAGACCGGGAGCGCAACGATAATTCTCCACGAGCGACGAATCGATCTCGGCGCAAATATTCGCAAACGACGAATATTTCGCGACGGAGAGGCCGCGAGGTTGATATTCACGAGCGATAAATATCCTCGAAAACTAGCGTATTCGCGTACCACGAGCGATGGTATAAAGACAAAGAGAGCTACTTTAACTTTTGCGAACGTTTTCGAAACGGAGAAAATCACACACTGTCACGTCAAAGATATCGGATCGAGTGCGTCCGGCGGTTCCCCGAGAGAGCTTTTATACAACCGTTCCTTTTCTGATTCTAGAACATTCGATATGTTTTCGCAAAAGATCGAGCCGGTAGTTGTTTTCGATGCTTGTTAAAATTTGAACGTTGTTATTGCCGCTTATTTGTAAATTAGGCTCTCTCGGGTGACCGCTGTTTGGCCCGCATCGAACGGCACGAGCGATGCCGCGAGCCTGGCGCGATTCGCGTAGCGCCGCTGTTAGAGCGCGCTCCTATTTGTCGCGCGCCGTGCGACGCGCGAGATGGCTGCTGACGCGCCAAATTTCGAGCGCGATTAATCCGCGTTTTATTGTAGCGATCGTTATCGCGGCTAATTGCTATTGGTTAATTATACTGCGTTCGGTTTCGAACAGATTGCGATAATTTAATTATATTTTTAACTTGCGCTGAAGATAGTACAAAAACGGGCCGAAACATACGCTCATTGTATTTTTATTTTTATCTATTTATAATTTTAATACTAATTAAGATTAATTTTTTTGCGCCCGATAACCTGCGCCTGGCTTTCATTGCTTGTCTTTTTGTTCGTCTTTTATCTTGTGGAGCTTTTATTACTTGTAATTTAATAATATTAGTTATTTATTATTATTATGTAGGACGTACCGAGGGGTTAATGAGATTTCAATAAGTCAGGGAGGAAGGCGTGAAGGAATTTGCTAGAAATGGTTGTTTATTAACAAACGATATTTGTATCACAACTGTAACACTTTAATGATTGGATCTCGCGTATCAAATACTTAATGGGCGCTCACGCCAATAGCGAAGAAGAACGCACGGAGAAATAAGTAAACGGTCTTATCTGTATGAGAGCCGGAACACGAGTCGCGACTCAACTCGCTCTTCTGTATCTCGAACCCTTAACAACCCATGGTTGCCTCACAACACAAACAAATATAGGTTTCCAAGTGATTAGCAAATGAAGGCGCTGTTGTCGAGTTGGCAAGCAACGAGACAACGGCTGCGAATGGGTTATAAGCCCTATAGCGTCTTACATATGCAGGATTTGGTAGACAAACTGACAGCACTCGGCAAGGAAATAAAGGATCATATTTTCGTAGTCATGCTGTTGAGTAGTCTGCCAGAAACATACAGTACGCTAATTACCGCATTGGAAAGCAAACCAGAGATAGAGTTGACGCTGAATTTAGTCAAAAACAAATTAATTGACGAATACAAAAGAAGAAGAGGTGTTCCGGACACAGAGAATTCAAGTAAGGCATTGAGGGCGTCGCAGAAAAAGGGTACAGATGCAGATAAGGGCAAACAATGCTTTTTTGTCATAAATTAGGCCATTTCAAGCACGATTGCTTCAAGTATAAGAAATGGAAGAGCAATAAAAACAAGACAGAAAAGACAAATGCAGCTAAAGGCGAAAATGAGCGAACAGGTTCCGTTTGCTTCAATGTACACGAAGCAGAGAGTCACCAGGATACATGGTATGTTGATTTAGGCGCCACAAGCCACATGATCTATAATCAGAGGTTCTTTGACGTTTTGGAGCAAAAGAATATGCGGGATGTAACTCTTGCAAATTGTCAAGGCGCAAAAGTTTTAGTGTCCTTGACAACATATGTCAAGGTCATTGAAATCGGTGAGGTCGGCGCTAATATGCATATTTACCAAAAAATAAAAAAATAAAAAAAGAATGTTGGCAGCGTAGGTTTTGAACCTGGGTTCTCGCTATTAGTGTACTCGCGCTTATTCCCTACGCCAACGACACTGTTCGATAAAGTGTCTTTCTTTATGTCTTACAACCTACATTAAAATTTCTCCAAATTTCAAGTATAAAAAAATACTACTTACAAGGCGCATTGGACGAAAAGCTCTTACAGCGCTTAACTATATTCAATGAAAATTCACCACAAAAAAGGAGATCAAAATCGGTGAAAAGTCAGCTGCGACCTCTCCTTGTGAGCCGCAATGTAACAAGAGAAGCGCATAAAACAGAAGAGGAAGAACGAGAGATCCTCGCAATAGAAGAAGAAACAAACTCCGACGAAGAAAAAATATACACGGAGGAAGGCAAGAAACAGATATTATATAAATATCATGATGCACCCACTGGAGAACATCAAGGAGTTGAACGAACGATAAAAAGAATCCGCCTAAATTATAATTGGCCAGGAATAACAAAAGACGTAGAAAAATACATTGCAAAATGCGAATTGTGCCAGAAAAATAAACTACCGCGAAAAAATAAAGTACCGTTAATAATCACGGATACGCTTACTAAACCTTTCGAAAAATGCGCGTTAGATATTGTAGGACCGCTAACAGTTACAACAAACGGAAATAAATATCTTTTAACATTCCAAGACAATTTAACGAAATTCAGCAAAGCGATACCGATTCCAAACCAAGAAGCGAACACGGTCAGTAAAGAATTCGTTACAAAAATTGTACTTGAACACGGAATACCGGAAAAAATTTTAACGGATCAAGGCACAAATTTCCTTAGCATAATATTTAAAAATATATGCAAATTATTAAAAATAAATAAAATACGAACAACTGCTTATCATCCGGAAAGTAATGGCGCGTTAGAACGATCGCATCGAACATTAGCAGAATATTTAAGACACTATATAAACGAAGACCAGACAGACTGGGACGAATGGATACCGTTCGCAATGTTCACATACAACACGACGCCACACACAGGTACGGGGTATACACCCTTCGAATTAGTCTACGGGCACCAAGCGGATCTACCTACGTCACTGACGAGACCGCCTAAACCGACATATAATTACGACTATTACGCGCAAGAATTGAAAAAAAG